GCACGCTCGTCACATGACCGCGCTGCTGAAGGCACAGGACACGGTTTGCTGAGGGGAACTCTTGCAGACGCGACTTCGCGACTGATTAGTGACGGATCTGATCTCCCGACCTGCGGCTGAAGTTGGGGTCGCGCGGCTGCCAGCTGTTGAAAGATCGATTTCATTTTTGACGTTCTTTTTAATTTGGGGATTTCCTCGCGTCTTTTAACCTCCACCCGCCGCACGACCATGTGTCAGTAGATCCGTTTGTTTCACTTGTCAAGAGGGACCGCTATTAGGATCTGGGGAGCCCCCGCACGGAGGACATGAGGTTCTGAGTCCGGGCGGCCCAGCGAGGGAAGATGCGCTGCTGGATCGTGGGGCTCTGTCTGAGTGTCCTGGCCGGGGCCAGAGACATCCCGGACCACCTGTGTCCTGCCCCGGGTAAGTCGCACTCCGTCGCTCCGAGCAGGAACCAGCCTGCGAGATTTCAAACAGCCGCTCGATCAGCGGTTTCGAGAGCCGCCCCGCAGTTTCGGCTTGTCAGCGGTACAGCTCGCAGGACCCTTGTTCCTCTCCAGTCCGCTCACGCCGGAGGCGCTGGGACGGGCGGCCTGATCGATAGGTTTGTGGATTGATAGATCTGGGAGTTGACTGTTAGGTTTGTTGTTGGGTTGATTGATTCATTGGTTTGTTGTTAGGTTTGTTGATTGGTTGATTGGTTGGTTGGTTGGTTGGTTGTTGGGTTTCTTGATTGGTTGATCAGTTGATTGATTGATCGTTTTTTTGGTTGATTGATGGGGGGTTTAGGTTGATTGATTGATCCTATTTTTGGGGTTGATTGGTTGGGTTGATTGATTGATTGGTTGATTTTTAGGTTTGTTGATTGATTGATCAGTTGATTGATTGATCACTTTTTTAGTTGATTGATGGGTTGGTTAATTGATTGGTTGTTGGTCGTTAGGTTTGTTGAATGACTGATTGGCTGGTTAGTTGATTGTTTGGTTGACCAGTTGCTTGATTGGTTGATCAGTTGGTGAACTGATTGGCTGGTTGCTCAGCCTGGCGCGCAGGGTCAGCTGCAGCTGCAGGTCCTGCGCTGACCTCAGGCCACTCTCACTCCTGA